CCTCGGATGGAGAGATGCCCTAAAGTTGCAGTGCTTAATAAACATAAAGTTTTGCAGTTAATAATTTTTTTATTTGCAATTCAGGTAGCGGTGAAACTTACCAATAATAGCTATCCATGCTCTAAAAAGAGCCATTGCCATTTCCAACTAGCTAAGAGTAGTCAGGGTAGAAGGAATCATGAATCAGAGTTAAGCTTTGCTCTTTTTGTGGGGGAAAAAATAACTCTAATAGTCTAATGGCCTACTTTTGATATTTGCATGCTACACTACACTAACACTTAATTAATCAAGAATATGGTTTCTTAATTTATTTGGATTACTAATGCTAGGAAATCTTCTCACTATTTTTCATATTATAGTATTAACTTTGTTCAGTAATCTAGCAGCACACAGAAGATTAGTAGAAAAAACATATCTAGATGGTCCCTCTATTGTTGGGCTGCCTTTTGGATGCACCGCATTATGCGCAACAGGGTACTTATGATGCTTATATATATCTGTGATACGCCAGACCTTGCCCGTGGAATTTAGGGAACTTGCTGTTAGATCTTTTTTTTTATTTGTGAATAATGATCTGATTATGCAAACCAATTTAGATTCATACACTATTTATTGCTCTTGATTCCTATGCTATTATAGATGGGGAATGCCCTGCATATGCTTTTGTGTAATCACTGCATCACTGGAAAACATGTAAAGACTCCTTTAGAATAAAGGAGTTTCATATACATGAATCTCATAGAAATTAGTTTATTTTAATAGAAAAGGGCAAGAAAAGGAAATTTTCCCGCATTCTAAAGGGGGGCCTAAGTGTTGAGTGGGATCAGAGGTTTGGAGCTTTTGTTCCACCTTGGACATGCCGATATATGTGGTTTAAGGGAAATAACTTTACCTTTCCAACAAAATAAAACAAACTCAAATGGCCAAATGAATATATTTGCATCAGATTCACATTAGCTCTACCTTTTATTACTCTCATCATGGTTCACATTAGGAAATACCTTAGTGCACTGGCTTTAGAGAGCAACGACAAATGTCAAGCTCTGTCCACGTCAAGCATTGTAGCTCTTGTGATACTGGTATGGCTAAGGAAGTTGAGATGATTGTGATCAGTACATATGTCTATTGTCTTCCTTGAAACAGACCATCGACTATGTGGAGATTTCTTTATCTCTCTTCCCTTCCCTTTGTGATATACTTTGAGACATACATCTATTTTGGTCCTCTTTTCTCATGTATAAAAGTGATTTGTATTTTCTATTTTAGTCAAATTTTCTTATACTAGCAAATATGCTCGTGTGTTGCAACGGGAGAAAAAAACACGTCAAACATTAATGGAAAACGAGAATGAGAATGTTACATATCTATTCATTTTTTTACACTTTTCATAAAATTACAAAGCTAAAATTTATGTTATGATGATCATAACATCTAAAATGTAAGTTAATATTGGCAATAATATCATAATGTTCTATTAAATCCGTTTAAAATTTAAAATATAACCTTGATAGATATTGTTTCTCTTCCATTGTAAGGCATAAAAATATTTAGTTGTAAATATATCATAACTTTAATTTTCATACTATCCTTGTGTTGGTAGAGTTAGATATCATGTCAACGATTGATCTGTTTTTTATTATTATAATAGAGATCTCTCTCGATTTCTACATGGTAACCCAGGATTATATTGGTATATGCATATAGCTTGGAGATAGATTTACTTTGATTAGATTGGATAACAAACTACTCAAAATTGCAGTTCACGATTTGATTAGTTGGATTATCGGGTGATTAAATTCTAATAATAATGGTTTATTCCTTACCAAAACTACATTAACAATTTATTTATTAGAGAAAAGTTAAGGGTTCAAATACATATTTATTGTTTAACTTTTATATTTATAAGGTCACGGTGTGCTTATTATGTCTAGTCGATTCTTGGGATGACATCGCTACGTTTGGGTTCACAATTCTTAAGGGAGAAAAGTGTACCTAGAAGAGGACGTCCACAAATTAAGCAGTTGGAAACGAGACAGCTGCTTCTAGAGTAGATGCAACTGATCCAAGTGCTACTCAATCATAACGTTGTCGTCGTTATTGTTCATGCAATGCAATGGAAAGGATCAGTACAGAAACATATTTTTATTGGAGGTTAACTATAAACATCTACGAATTGAACCATATATATTACTCTAGAGAACAAGTGCCACGCAGAATCCGGCGCAGCTGCTATGAATCAAATTGTAGTAAACTGAATTGAACCGTTGTTTCCACAAACAAATACAAATACAAAAAAAAAAAAATCTTGAAGCTTACGGATGGACCAGAATTCAAAATTGATTTAAACGCAGGGTGTGCGAAAGGCATGATCTGGATTCTGGAGAAAACCATACATGGAAGTGAAGGATCTTGAGAAGACCATGTAGGATGGTTGACGACACCAACTGGACCAGTTCAACATATATGGTCCTACATGGATATGGCCTGCGGAGAGTGCTGGCCCCGGCCACGGCGGTGTTTAATTCGGTTTCGGTGGGTGCAGATGCATGCAGGTCGGGAGAGCCGGTCGCGTGCACGTCAACGTTGGTCGCACCACTGGACTAACATGATGAATGGCTTGGTCCCAACATGCACGACGCGATACAGCAAGTTAAATATATTTGAGTCCAGACTGAAGAAACTTTCTGTTGTTCGGTAGTTAAAGGGAGACGGACCAAAAAATAGATGGATGAAAAAAATAGGTTGAAATTTTACCATTTTATTAATAGGTATAGATATACAAGCGACTATTACAAAAAAGCAATCGTATGGATATTTATGCTAGTGTAGTCTATACCTAATAATAAAGAGACGAAATTTCGGGTCATTTTTTTTTTGTCTATCGACCCCTAACTACTAGATAATGGAGAGTTTCTTTTACCCAGACTTATATGACCCGTGTTCATAGTAGGAGTTTGAATATATCGCGTCCAGCGATGATCAATACAAAAGAGTCCTATTCCAATACGTATTGCGCGGCCTACGTATCAGGCTTTGTATACAATTCTATTGAGGACTCCAAACCTATCCACAATCCGAAATCAAATAGAATCCCCCCTGTCTGCCAAATAAATCTAAACAAAGAAACGTGATCCATATATTCTCATTCTCAGCGCTAGAGAGATTGTCGTAGCCGACGAAGCTGTTGAGGGCGGCGTGGTACGTTAGTCTCGCTGAGGTAAGAGCCAAGCAATGAATCCCGGGTATGAATACAACAAAGCGAGAATATTATGTGTTTCTATTAAGCAAAGGATATTTCAATTTCTAACTCCCTAGCATGAATACAAAATCAGATACGTGTTCTACTGAACAAAGGATATTTGATAAATATTAAAAAATATAAAGAACATGATCATACTAGGAAAGGTGTCCTAATAAGGACACTGATTCGTTTGAGAATACTTGACTTGACACGGATCAAACTGAGTTCATCTTCTGCCGGATCAGCCGGCCGGCAAGAATTGGGCCATTGGGGCGACGTGGAGTTCGCCGCGCACACCAACACGCTCGCGCAGGTGGTGTTCATGGAGCCTCCTGAACATCAGGAAGAGGTAGCGACGTAATCTCTTGATCAAAATTTTCACTGGCTCGCGCGCCCTTGCTTCACTGCTTATAGATGCTTATAGAACTGCAGAACAATCAAGCTTGTGCTTGTGCTTGTGCATGATATTTCGTGTGGAGGAATCAACGTAATTTCTGCTTCTTGTACATAATTAATCTCAACTTGCTTCTGCTATGTATATAGTCCTACATATTTGAGCAAATTATTTACACACTAAAGTTGGATTGTACAGTTGATTTTGTGACTAATCTAGATGATGGTAACAAACTAACAATTCAGTGTCACTCTAGGATGTGGATGTTCGTCGGTTCCCATGTTCAAAGGGACAATATGGATGTGACTATTTTTTTCTAACATCGATATGATTGATGAGAGTTACAAAAGTCCATTGAACTAGAAGAAATATGGAACTTGGTCGTCCAGGTTGGATTTATGTTATCTCCGTTCGTCAAGTTGGACCAAATGCTGAGCTTTTTCAACAACCGGGCAGTGCAGTTCGAAAAGTTTGGATTGAGACAAAAGAAAGCAAATTTTCATTTCTGTGACGAGGATATGAAATCTGAGACGACACTGGCTGGTTTGGTTTCCGGCAGCATTTGCAGTATGCGGATCCCAGAGATGAGCAGGTTCCACACTCATTGGCTGCGTTGGGCTGGTACTTTAAAAGTACTGTTTAAGGCTGAAAATTACTGTTTATGACTGATTTCCTTTTACAAATTCCTCCAAGCGAACGGGGCCATTGGCATGCAGTAGCAGATTGGTTGTCCTCAATTCATAAATGACCCGATGCATGAGAAGATATCTGCATCTCTCTCTCTGAAACAATACTCTGTGCATGCAATTTGGTATGTAAAAAAATTATAATTTTTATAGATCTCAAATATTGTCAATATTAAAAATTTTATATTATATATTATGAATGTCATGATCATCGTAAAATATATTATAGTTTAAAAATTATAGAAGAATAAAATATAAATAGCTATATAGCATTCTTATTCTCATTTTCCATGAATATTCGATAGCTTATTTTCTTAGCATTTCTATTCTGGTTGAATATTCGGTAGCTTATGTTCTCTGTTCAACGCACGGGTATATTTGCTAGTATAAATATAATAAACATTTTTTAAAAGGAGATTCCTTGGTTTAGTCGAGATGTTCTGAGCCTATTTGATCCATCTTATTTCAATTGGATTTCGTTTTGAAAGGGCATTTCAACTGGATCTGGTCGGACAACAAGCCCAAGCCAAGCCCAAGCCGCCCCAAGATATTTCATTACCGCCTCCGTCCGTTCCGTTGCGCGGTTGCGCCGGCCGGATAAGGCAAGGAGACGAGACCTCCCCCTGCTCCGCTCCGCCACGCCGGCACGCCGCCGACGGTCACGAACCGTCTATCGTCCATGGCGTCACCGCACCTCCCCTTCCTCTCCTTCCCCAAAACCCTACCGCCACCACCTCCACCGCTCAAGCCCCACGCCCACCGGACCTCCCTCGCCGCCGCTCCAGCTCCGCCGCCGGCCCCGCCTGACGGCGCGGGGCCTGCCGCGCCCACGCGTGGGGACCGCTTCCTCGGCCTCCAGCTGGCCACCGAGGCCGCCGCGCGTGTCCTCGCTCCCGACGACGCCGACCGGCGCCGCCGACGCAAGGAGAAGCGCCGGGCCCTGGCGCGGAAGCCCTCCGGCCTCGCCTCTTGCTACGGCTGCGGCGCCCCGCTGCAGACGGCGGAGGAGGCCGCGCCGGGATACGTCGACCCCGACACGTACGAACTGGTAATCACCAATGCTTCTTCCCCTTCCCTTTTCGCTCGGCCACTACATTCATCCATTCATAGTCTTCCTCGGAGCAGAGAATGGTAGCTGCGCTGCGCTCTCATTTCGTTTCTCCTCTGATGAGCAGAAAAAGAGGCACCACCAACTGAGAACCGTTCTATGTGGAAGGTGCAAGCTGCTGTCTCATGGCCACATGGTCACTGCTGTTGGTGGCCACGGTGGTTATCCTGGCGGCAAGCAGTTTGTTTCTGCAGAACAACTCAGGGAGAAGCTGTCATACCTCCGTCACGAGAAAGCGCTGATAGTCAAATTGGTAAACAACTTGCCAGATTGCTGATTTTCTTGCCTCTGCTCCTTTCTCTGCCCACTCATTCTAGCGTCTATGTGAAGGTTGACATCGTTGACTTCAATGGGAGTTTCCTGGCACGAGTACGCGATTTTGCTGGTGCTAATCCTATTATACTTGTGATAACAAAGGTGGTTGTTTTATACATTCAGTTTTTCTATACTGTCCTGTTTTTTTTTATCACTATCATCTGACAACTGAAGCTACTTCTTTCCTAGGTTGATCTCCTTCCCAGAGACACTGATTTGAATTGCATAGGCGACTGGGTTGTCGAGTCAGTTGTCAAGAAGAAGCTTAAGTAGGAACCTTTTCCTTACTAGTATTCCTCATTTTACGGCACTTTCATCAAATGATCTGACCAATTTAAATTTGGTATATGCAGCGTCCTTAGTGTCCATTTGACAAGCTCAAAGTCATTGGTTGGTATCACAGGGGTTATATCAGAGATTCAACAGGAAAAGAAGGTCAGCATCTCTGTTTTTTTTTTTGTGATTATTGCAGTTGGACTGTTCACTTCTTGGCCATGCTCGAATTATACCATCTCAAGTTCTACAGATCTTCACTTCCCCTGCTTGTTCTACATTTCACAATCCTTACTGATGTTTATTTTTATCATATTAGGGCCGAGATGTATATATACTGGTAAGCACTCATCACTTCCATTTTTGTGTTCTTCTTTAGATTTGGGGGGTGGGGGGATAAGAGTGCAATTGCTGTTCAGAGATATGTGCATTATATTGTATATGCAATTGCTACTGCTATCTGTACAAATTTAATCAACTTCAATAATTCAGGCAATACAACTTTAAAGCATGTGAGTTGTGTTTCTGCCTGTCAGCCAGTGTAGCTTTGTCTGACCTAAATCATACACTGTTACAGGGTTCCGCAAATGTTGGGAAATCTGCATTTATCAGTGCAATGCTAAGTATGCCTTTCCTATTATTAATATTTGTCCTGTATCCATTTATGTAGTGGTTACCATCTAAACAATGCTGCTCGTTCTTTTACTTACCACGCTAACTGTTGGAGATCCTTCTGTTGTAGGAACAATGGCATACAAGGATCCGGTGGCAGCGGCAGCCCAAAAATACAAGCCAATACAGTCTGCTGTTCCTGGAACAACCCTTGGCCCTATTCAAATTGAAGCATTTTTAGGCGGAGGGGTATGATTCTGTCTGGCCAATTGATCTTCTGAAAGGATCTGTATATGTTAACTTTAGTTGCTAGCCTGTTGCACGCACTTTGTTGATATAGCTATACGAACAGTAATTTAAATCCGTGCTCGCTGAAAATTCTCAAATAAAAATATTCCGCTAACCTACATAGATGTGTCTATACTTCTAAAGGTGTGTCTTATCATGATCCTTTGATGCAATACAATTGTTTCTATGCACTGACAATGCTCAATATGAACTGCTCCAAAATATGTGTTCTCTCTGATTACATCCCGATGTTTTGTATCTTCTACTTAGAGGTCCAATTTGAAGTCTACTAACATATCCCTGAATCTTTGCACACAGAAATTGTATGATACACCTGGAGTCCACCTTCACCATAGGCAGGCAGCAGTTATCCATGCTGATGATCTGCCTTCTCTTGCACCACAAAGTCGTTTGAAAGGGCGATGTTTTCCCGTATGTATATTTCATTCGGTTGAACACATGTTACTTTCTCTAAATTTCCACACTAATCTTTTTCTTCAGAACATGATGTTATGTTCAGGCTAATGATACAGATATTGAATTGAGTGGGAATTCATTATTCTGGGCTGGGCTAGTCCGCGTTGATGTTGTCAAGGTACCTAATGAGCTGAACTTCATCTTTGATATATTGTTTTCTTACCATGTTCTAATTCTCCCTTCTAAGCTGTAATTGTCAATCAATGAATGACATAGGCTCTTCCACGCTCACGGCTGACATTCTATGGGCCCAAGAAGCTAAAGATTAACATGGTCCGGACAACAGAAGCAGATCAATTTTACGAGGTATGCCTATGCTAATTAGTATGAAAGTTCATTGTCTGATACCACCAGCTATATTTTATTTGGCTTAGAAAGAGAGTTGCTTCTCCCTCTTCTCCTCTTTCTAATCACAGCTCTGAATTGTGTCCTGCAAAACTCTTTGCATTTAACCATGCTCTTCAAAACTGTATTCACTTGCTATTCGCTTCTATGTTTGCATGAAACTTACATGCATCTAAATGAGGCTCATCTGAAACAATGATGATTTCATTTTATTTCTGTCTTGTTGCTTTTTTTTTTCATTTTCCAGACTGAAGTTGGAGTTACATTGACTCCGCCAACTGGTAAGGAGAGAGCTGAAGGATGGGCAGGGCTTCAAGGTGTTCGCGAGTTGAAGATAAAGTATGAGGAACGTGACAGGTAATGTCTGCAAGTAATGGTGATGCCATAGCTTTACTCATCATTCATTTATTATATGGTCAAAAACTGCATGGGTAGTTTAGTGAAGCTAGCCTTCTTCTTTTACTGTGAGGATGGGGAGTATCTTGTCTGGATAACAAGAGAAATAGAAGCAATTGCATTTTTTTTTGAAACGAGCAATTGCATTTTTGTATAGTACTTATTTAAGAAGCTGATTCCTTGATTACTGGGCTTAAGGACCTTATCTGTAACAATGTCATATGCAGGCCTGCTTGTGACATCGCAATCTCTGGGCTTGGATGGATTTCTGTGGAGCCATCAGGCGTGCCATCAAACGGCCCTGATGACAATATCGAGGAAGAACACGATGGCGGTGAGCTGCATCTGGTGGTACATGTACCCAAACCGGTTGAGGTATTCGTCCGCTCCCCATTGCCTGTCGGTAAAGCGGCGTCACAATGGTACCAGTATCAAGAGTTGACAGAGGAAGAAGAGGAGCTGAGGCCTAAATGGCATTACTGATGCTGCTCTGGTTCTCTACCTATTTCTCTAGCAGTAGTACAGTATTGTGTAATCCAAATATTTAGCACAAAGTTATATGCTATGATGAGATGATGTTGGCACGACTAGTGTTAGGATCAGGTGATAAAATGGATTCAGAAAACAAGTTTTGAATAATTTTGTCTCGGGAAGGCTTGCCTCAGTTTTTTCCTTCCTCAGACCCCACTCGTGTGGAGCCTCCGGTCACTGGGTATGCCCTTTTTTATGCTTCGGAAGGTCATGTGGAATCCTATGTTCAGACGTGAACAGTATGTCCTGCACATGTACTCCAAATGAAGGAGCTTCCTGACAAGCCATCGAGGAGATTTGTAACAAATGCAATTTAACTTCAAAACAGGTTTGGTCTGCCTTTGACCATATAACTACCAGGTTTTTGTTTTTCAAAATATCGTGCGATGACGCTTTTTTTTTAGCAGACTGACGCATTTTTCTTGAAGTACGTATACATAGTCAGGAAGCGTATTTACTAAAACTTTGCCAACCCTTCTTCGTTGAATTCGGCCCATTGGATCCGTCCGACGCACAGACCCGCACCATCGCCACCACCATGGCCGACGAGCCCACCAGCTCCGGCGACTCGCCGCCGCCGCCGCCTCCTCCGCAGCCGGAGAGCGGTTCCATCTCCTCCATGGTCGCCTCCTCTGCCGCCTCCGCGGCGGCCGCGGCAGCAGACTTCACCCGCTGGGCCGAGACCTTCGGCACCGAGAAGGCCGACGCCGCCAAGGCTGCCCTAGCCTCCGCCACCACCTTGGCCACCTCATCCGCCTCCGCGGCTGCTTCTGCTTCCTCAACGGCTGCGTCCTCCGCCTCCGCTGCCGCCTCCGACCTCACCCTCATCGCCAAGGTGGTGGCCCCCATTCCCCTCGCTTCGGTCGATCTAAGCACAATTTGGTGAAAGCTCAAACCTTTCGCTGTCCTATTCGCAGGAGGAGCTGGAATGGGTGAAGAAGGAATACTCTGCTCACGAGCAGATTGTGTTTGGCAAGATCAAAGGTGCCGTTTTGCTGCGTAAAGATCAGATAGTTCGGGATTCCCCTTAATTTGATGTTCTTCGTAGATGATGTTCATCTTCGTTGGCGAAATTTTGCTATTTTTTTTCTCAAGCATTGAATGGTTATAATGGTTGCAGAGGGTGTTGTCATGGCGATAATGCATCCAGGCATTGCTGCAGGCTCCGCAACACTTGCAGGGATTGTCCTTTTCAAAAGTAATATGTTTTCCTTGCAACAACTTCATTGTTCTTTGGTGCTATATTGAATGGGTTTCTGCTGTTTGCATTGTACTTTCATTGGTTCCTTTTGCTAATGCACAATGTAATTTAGTATTTGCATCAGGGATTCACATAGCTGTAATTTAGTATCCACACAATGCACTTGAAGAACATTGAAGTCATTATGACCACATGCTAAACCAAATTGTTTTCTTTAACTCAAATGTACTTTTGATATTCTAGAATTGATCCTTTGCTGTGTTCTTGCAAATGAATGAAATGTTTTGAGACCTCGGCCGAGTCAATGTATTCCTTCTTCTTAGAATATGATGCACATTGGTTTAAAAAAACTTTGAAAAAATAGTTCAATGATTTGGGAATTGATGAAATTCATTAAAGCTGTTGCGAAGTTTTGTTCAAACTATCCATCCTCGACTTAGTTGCCTAGTATTTCATGGTACATAGCCCCAAGGTAATAAGCTTGCTGACTCATTGGACATTTGTTCCAATATAATTTCAAGAAGGCTTAAAATGGACCTTTGTAATACTAAATGAATATGAATGAATCCTTGCAGGGCCAAGGAGCTACCTTATTCAACGAGTACGACGCATGTTTGTTAGCAAGGAGGTAAGCACCCTATGTCATTTTGATTGGCACATATACTCCTGTGACTTGATAGATTCATGCTCTTCAAAGTTAATTAACCATCTTCTTTGATTACTCTTTCAAGTTAATTCACCATCTTGCTTAGAAGTCCTCCTCTTCCTAGGTGGGGCTATCTATTCACCTATGACTACATTCTTATAATTTACATGCTAGTGTTTGGATACATTTAACTGTTGTTTCCCTGAACATGATTGATGACGTTCATGTAGCAAGTCAGAATAAAATCAAATATGATGTTTGCAAGTTTGTATTTTCCCTACGAAATGGTACGGATCAGATCGATTATCTAACATAATTTTTGTTTTTTCATACTATAGACCCTACTTTCTGGGGTACAAGCTGAAGTGAATCACATGCGGCAGACTGTGAATCTCGTATCCAATGAACGCCAAAAACTGTTGGTAATTTTTTTCATTTGAAGATAATTGAACCATTTGTTAGTTTTTTTTTTTTGTCTCTTTTAACTTCAGATGCTATCCATGACTGATTTTATGCATACTGGAATCCAGGATAGAGCAGCAACCGCAGAGAAAAGATTTCAGAAAGGATGGAATACACTCAGGCATCTCTCTCTCCCCCCTTCTATCATTTATTTCTGTCCTTATTACTCTATATAACATGGGTGATACTTTCTGCTTTATCAGGGAAGAAGGGCGTTCCATTCAACATGAGTTGAGTGAGATTAGAGATATTGAAAACCAAGCAGTAGGTGTGTAAGATTTCTCTATATTATTGTTTTGTGTTGTGCTCGTGACATTTGATTTCTGGTATGGAGATTATTTTATCCTGAATTTTTCATTTTTGATGAAATGTGTCTTCTCAGGTCTGAAGGGGATTCTTGATCAGCTTCCCAGAGCACACGCATCCGAATTTCGATCGGAGGTTAGTAAATCTGCATGTATCTTTGGACATGATGATGTTTATAGGAATTGATTTGAGATTTTTTTTTCTAGCCAATTAGAGTTTTTAATAACACATGTCTCCTAAGTCTGTATTCTAAAATGCATCAAAGCCTTTTCTTAGCAGTCTTACTAGTTGCTCCTGACATGGATATTATGTGCTTGAGAATGAATTTTGTTAAACAGTGTACCATTTGTATATATGGGAATATGGGATGTATAATGTTGTTGGATCGCTCAGAAGCTCTTATATAGAGAATTACATTTAGTTTTCTTGGTGATTTCTTTCTTATCTTAACCTACATGAGCTGCTATTTGCTGCAGTTGGGCCTCTTTTCAGAAATACACACTTGTCATAGCAGTTTATATTTTACTGACTATTCCGGCCCGCTTATTACATCTCATGTAGTGAGTGATTAAGTAAAACTGTGCTATACGCTCGTAGCATTATCCTAGAGATGGATGAGTGGATGACCATGATGCAGCGGCCTCTGAATATTTTGTATTTTTTGAAGCTGGGTGGCTTGTGTGATCAAAGCTCATAGCAGAGATTGTCTTTTCATGTGTTGCAGATATCTGGGCTAGCTTCTCAGGTTAAGAAGGAGAAGCGAGTGCTTAACGCTGCCCTCACGAAGATTGTGAATTACGGTGTCCCCATCTGACTGCCCCTCCTGTCAGTTGTTCTGAGGGTCCATTGTATCAGATTTTTGTGAAGGAAGGCAGGCTCGATGTGTATGGTGAACGCTATACTGCCCACTTGGTTTCGAGAAAAGGAGAAAATAATAAGTTTTGTTGCCCGTGCAGACCTGTAATTGTGCTGCTGGTGCTGCCTAATGTTGCAGCGTTGAAACCTGAGTAACAGATGGCATTTTGCAATGTTTTTTTTTTGTTTTGTTTTACCTATTGACATGTTCACCGCCATCAGCTGGCATATGTTATTTCCAACTGCTTGATGCCATCTCCGATGTATGGCAGAGGAAAAAAAACTTAATACCTGAATGCCTCGTTACCCCTCGTCCGTGATGTGAAATGAAATCCTCGGAATTGTAAAAGTGGTATGAAATTTTGGTTGAAAAATAATCGTCTGTGGTGAAATGAAATCCTCGGAGTCGTAAAAGTGGAATGCAATTTTGGTCGAAATAATGCGAGCTGCTGACCTTGCATTTATTACTGGTGCTCCTGTCCGTGCTCCTCCGCCGTGTACGTTCTTCGTCTTTTCATTCACTCGTCATATATATCTTTGCTGAAAATTTAGCTTCATCTCTAAAATTTTCGTTACAAAGTTTGCAGAAACAGCTTGAAATTGCGCCATCAAGCGGTCCGCTTTCCAAATCCTCCAACTCCGCTGTGTCTACTACTCCATTCAGCGCTTCTTCCGTCGTCTCCGGGCTCCGGCGGACGACGCCTTCGCCTCCTTTCCTCAAAGGCCCAGGCCCAGGCCCAGCGGCACCGCCGCCTCGCCCCACGCGTCCGTCCCCTCTGCGCGCCGGCCGCCGGTCGAGATGCCTCGCGACCGCGACGAGCCAGCCGCCGTGCGCGTCTACACCGTCTGCGACGAGTCCAGGTACCAGAATCCCGCCTCTCCAGACCTAGCTTGCCCTTGCTGATGGTTGGTGCCGGTGGTTGCTTGCTCCTCCTGCCTGCAGGTACTTGATCGTGCGCAACGTGCCTTCACTCGGATGCGGCGACGACCTCGCCAATCTCTTCGGGACGTACGGCCCCGTGGAGGAGTCAGTCTCACCTCTTCCTCCCCTCGCTCCTCCTGCATCCTGTATTCGAACTGCTTATTAGTTGATTAATTACCCACCCTTGGGTGTCAGGTGCACGCCCATGGATGCAGAGGACTGTGAACCCTACACCGACGTCTTCTTCGTCAAGTTCTCCCAGGTCAACAACGCCAGGTGAGGTGATTCATTTGGTACCACCGTCTCCATCCATTGGCATTTTCCACTCACGTGGTGTGGACTCTGTGCTGATCTAGCAGTTAGTATAGTTCAGGTGTTCTTGGACTGTAATAACAGCACAGGGCAATGAAACCGCCCCGTGTTTTCTGTGGCCTACCAACCCCAACTGCTGGGGATGACAAGAATGGCTCAATGATGTAGCCTACTGTAACCCTAACCTTCATCTTTCTTCAATTCAACTTGGGACAATGTTCAGTTTATGCTTATTGTTCACCAGGCTT